AAACAGCTGATTGACGCTCGGTGTAACCTTGGCGCACTGCCACTCAAACATCCAATCCCAGAGCTTGAAGATTAATCACGGAGACTGTAGTCCCAAACGACAGCTGACGATTATGGGTAGTGTAGTGTCTTCGGCCATCCTAAACTCAGAAATGTTTTTCGGATTTCATATCGTATTAACACCATATCCCTACATGCATCGCGGCTAAAACATCCAATCAGCGAGCTTAAACCATAGCTGAGGATCTTGGGTAATCAGTTCAGTGGCTGTGTATCGCAATGATGCTCGAAATGTCCCTTAGCAGGATTTGGAAAAACTTGTCCATGCTTTTATCTTCAGTAGACTCGACTACTGCAATGGTGTCTTCACAGGTCTCACTAAAAAATCTATTAGAAAGCTGCAGCTGATTCAGAACGCCGCTGCTCGAGTCCTCACTAAAACTAAGAAAGTGGATCACTCCTGTTCTGAAGTCTTTACACTGGCTTCCTGTGTGTCAAAGAATAGATTTCTAAATACTGCTGCTGGTTTATAAAGCACTGAATGGTTTAGGCCCAAAATACATTTGTGACCTCCTGCTAAATGATGAACCATCCAGATCTCTCAGGTCTTCAGGGACTGGTCAGCTTTCTGTCCCCATAGTCAGAACTAAACATGGTAAAGCAGCGTTCAGTTATTATGCTCCAAATATCTGGAACAAACTCCCAGAAACCCGCAGGTCCGCTACAACTCTTACTACTTTTAAATCCAGCAAGAAGACTTTTCTTTTTGTCGCTGCTTTTAATTGAACTATTCATATCTTAGACTGCACTGTAACTTTTATCCATGTATTTTTTCTTTTAATGTTTATTTTATTAGCTTTTCTTTTTAATGACTGATTTTAAATACCATTTTCTTAATCTCTTTCATTTTTTGTATAGCACTTTGAATTGCCTTGTGTTGAAAAGTGCTATATAAATAAACTTGCCTTGCCTTGCCTTATAGGCCTACGTCTGTTTCCTGTTACTTTATTTTGAAATTCAGTTCCTGACGGACGGCAAAAAAGCCTGAGATTATAGAATTAAACAAATAAATAAAAACAAGGATAATTGTGTGTTATTGGTGAGTAAATAACAGTGTGTTATTTAGAAAAGAATTAAAAAAGTCCGACATTATACAATTTTAAATAAAAGCAATAATCGTGGCTTGATATTGAGTAAGAACATGTTTTTATGAACCCCACAGCTTCCGGTCTTCCAAGACCCGACCGGACAAAAGCACGAAACATACTACCAGTAGAAATACATTGCTTTTAAAATCGTTCTGTGTGACACGAATCAATAGATTACATGTCGTGACTAAAACACGAAATGCTGTGAGACTGGGTTGGTTAGATGGTAACTGTTAGCTGGTAACTGTTACCAGCTAACAGTTACCAGCTAAGAGAGGGTTGTGTTAGCATTGTTAGCGTGCAGTTGATAGCTAACAGTTAGTAGTCCCAGGTGAGAGAGGGTTGTGTTAGCATTGTTAGCTAACAGTTGATAGCTATCAGTTACCAGCTAACAGTTAGTAGTACCAGGTGAGAGAGGGTTGTGTTAGCATTGTTAGCGTGCAGTTGATAGCTAACAGTTACCAGCTTACAGTTAGTAGTACCAGGTGAGAGAGGGTTGTGTTAGCATTGTTAGCTAACAGTTGATAGCTAACAGTTGATAGCTCACAGTTACCAGCTAACAGTTAGTAGTACCAGGTGAGAGAGGGTTGTGTTAGCATTGTTAGCTAACAGTTGATAGCTAACAGTTACCAGCTTACAGTTAGTAGTACCAGGTGAGAGAGGGTTGTGTTAGCTATCAACTGTTAGCTAACAATGCTAACAGTTGATAGCTATCAGTTAACAGCTAACAGTTAGTAGTACCAGGTGAGAGAGGGTTGTGTTAGCATTGTTAGCGTGCAGGTGTACTCACGCTCTGCAGCTCTCTGCGGGTGAAGATGCGCGGCAGCAGCAGCATCCTCACTGGGATGGTCAGCAGCAACATGAAGGGGAAGGCCAGCGCCGCAGAGGTCGCCATGACGACCCACAGGAGAGACAGACAGATGAGCTCCACCACGGTGAACAGGTGCATCCTCAACGTGCGCACCTGAGAGGGAACAATCAGTATCAGATGGGCCTTTCATGGAGAAACATTGGCACAACTGACATGGACTTAAACACCGAAAGAGCATCCATGAACATTCCTCTGTTTGCAAATTATTTATCTAATATATCATTCCATGTACTTGTATATAGACTCTTCTTGCACTATTTATATTTCATTTGTATTAACTTGCACACCTCAAAACATTCTCTTGCACTTGCATTTGATCTGTTTATTAGTTCTATATATATTCATGTAGCTCTGTTGGAGGAGGACTTCAGTTTGTCATTGCCATATCTCCACTGTAGCTGCTGAACTCATGATGATGAAGACTTGAAACTTGGTGCTTCCTTTGAGTCCAAGAAAAGATCCCTGTAAAGTCCAGTTCATACGAACCAGTATGAAATCAAGTCGAAATTCAAATCAATCCATTTGAAAGTGAAGTCAACCACACAAGTCCCAAGTAAAGTCCAAATCAAGACCAACAAACCAGAACAACAACCCAGCAGCCCCTGTGTGTAGTAGTCCTTTATGCTGTATAATTGACCGCATGTCATGGAGTGTAATAAGGTATCCGCAGACCTTTCTATGAGACAACTTTATGTACCTAACAGGTCTTCAGCCATGGTACATACTTCTAGATGCGGGCTTACATACACATACTAGTACTCAGTATCACTCCACGCCACATCAGTAACATCCTGATAGTATATGTGTGCGGCACTATACACTACACTGTGGAGGGTGTTCATGCCCGGTGGGGGCAGGACTCACCTTGCGGACGTAGTTCTGGTCAGGGTGGTACTTCGGGGGCATGAACAGCAGGATGAGCCGCTCAGTGAGCTGGATCCCGTTCAGAGACATCACGCCCATGTAGAGGAAGATCCCGAACAGAACCGCCAGAGGGATCTGACGCAGAACCTCCCCGATCACGATGGACAGACCTGAGGGGGTTAAAAGTAAAGAGGCAAAATATTAGAGATCGAACAAATTAAATAAATTACTATTCACAAAAAGTACCATAAAGTACAGTAGCAGTATTTGTATATGAATAAGTGTAGCAAGTGGAAGTCGTGTGATAGCAGCCAGGTAACAGCAGTGGAATCAAAGTATATATTGCTCGGTGTGACAGACTGTGTTACAGCAGTGGAATTGTCTAACTGAGATAGCAGCCAGTACAAATCTATTATAAAGCGGTTATTGCACTTCAGTGATATTACAGATGTGTTCAAGTCTTTGTTGTTGTTTGTGTGGGGTTGTAAGATAAGATAAGAAGTACTTCATTGATCCCAATTTGGGAAATGTTTGCGTTTTGTAAAGTCAGACTGAAGGAAGGACCCGCTCTCTTCCTGTTAGCAATGGGGTCATTTCCTCCTTGACCTCTGTTAGAGCCAGTACTGAGTCCTTATAAGAAAGGCCACCTAATCGTGACGTCTGTAGTCAACAGACTATAAAAGACTACGATTCGCACGGTGCCTCCTCTAAAGAGACAGAGGTGACCTGTCAGAAAGACACCCTCCAGGAACAGTCTTTAACCGTTCAACTAACCCTTTAAGTTATGAAGATATATAAGCCTTATCAAGAAAGAAAGAATACCAAGTTGTTTGTTATTTTATTTGAGTTTTGACTCTTTGTTTTGAACCTTGTAAAGGCCTCTTTTCTTTGTTGCATGTGTAAAGGTTTGTTATTCTGCTCATTCGCCCGCGCCTCGGAACTCCCTCCCAGATCAGCTGAGATCGCCCCTTCCACCGAGGTCTGAGGAACCGGCCTTAAGACCCTCTTCTTTCGGCAGGCCTTCCAATACACTTTCAGCATGGTACACCTGGAGGATTGCCATTTTTATCGCTATCTCCGACTTTTATTATTTATTTTTTATTATTTATTATTATTATTTTTTTAATCTTTCAAAGTGTATCAGTGTCCTTTGCTGTGAAGCGCTTCGAGATTTGTCTTGGCAAATGAGAAGCGCTATATAAATGAAATGTATTATTATACACATCGCATGATATCATCCAAGCAACTCTTCAACTGTGAGTAATATAAAGGAAAGGAAACAAGTGAACATGTCTGTTTAAGGCGTCTAGTGGCTTGATAGAAAAACAAGGAAGGAAGCCACGACAACCTCCATCCACCCCAGGGGGGTCCAAACCTTTTTCACAGAGAGCCACATACAGCACATATACGTATATATATATATATATATATATATATATATTGTTAGCAGCTCATCCCTTAAAACAGAAGCCTCAGATAGATTCTCATAAGAGGAAATAGGAAGGGTAGATTTCAAGCATGTTATGAAAGGGCTTTTTTCGTATCAACTTAGATTTGATAGAAAATGTTTTCAACTTGAATTGACTGAATTTGTTTAACACATGAATACTGTGTAATATCTGTTTTCATCTATATTTAAGAAGTACAATACAAGACAAGCACAAGTTTCATTTGTGGGCCATACTCCATTATACTCTCTGAATCTGCTGAGGGCCGTTTCAAAATCTCTCACAGGCCGCATTTGGCCCCCAGGCCGTAGGTTGGACACCCCTCATATAACCCCTCATCTGGTCCCCAGGTTGTGGTCCTCCACGTACCCACTAGCACGGCCACCAGGAAACCCGTCAGCCTCTGCTCCTTCACTTCCTGTATGCGCGGCTTGTCTCCGGGCGCCACGGCCTTGCTCATCACGGTGAGGGCGTTGGTGTGTGTGACGGAGCGCACGGTGGCTGCAGACAGCCAGGGCAGACCGAACAGAGCCGAGACCCCCCCCACCACCACGATGATCAGCAGGTCCAGGTGGAAACCAGTGCCCTTCACCAGCATCCGCTCCTTCTTACTGACGATCAGCCTGACGCACACACAGGAAACACAATGTTAACACTCTGTGGTGGTTCTGGGTCGGACATTAAAAAACAACAAAGACAGCAATAAGTCCGTGTCCACAGAGCGTCTGTTAATGAACTGGTTCCTCTCACAGCACCAGTCCACACTCTGAAGCCCGTCAGAACCTTCAACCGGCGATCCTTCGGTTCCCAAGTCCCGTCCATTTGGACTGACTGACGCATCGCTGCTTTTGTATATTAGCTGTTTGTGCTTCCGTTGCTAAGTACTAAGGTCTGGTACTCGAGTAAAAGTAGAAGTACTCTGATCTTGTACTTGTTGTACCTGTTCTCAAAGCTGGTGAAGGTGCAGCTAGTCTGAATGACTTTGTATACTGCAGGGTAGCTGGTGGATTTACTCCAGGTGGAACTAAAGTCTGATTCAACACTTGATTAGATTTACCATCATTCATCCACATCTGTGAAGTAACTAAAGGTATTAAATACATGTAGTGGAGTAGAAGTACACCATGTACCTCTGAACTGTAGAGGAGTGGAAGTACATCATGTACCTCTGAACTGTAGAGTAGAAGTACACCATGTACCTCTGAACTGTAGAGGAGTAGAAGTACACCATGTACCTCTGAACTGTAGAGTAGAAGTACACCATGTACCTCTGAACTGTAGAGGAGTAGAAGTACACCATGTACCTCTGAACTGTAGTGAGTAGAAGTACACCATGTACCTCTGAACTGTAGTGAGTAGAAGTACACCATGTACCTCTGAACTGCAGAGGAGTAGAAGTACACAGTAGCATAACATTGAAATACAAGTCCCTCAAAAGTGTACTTAAGTACAGTCCTTCAGTAAATGTACTTAGTTACTTCCCACTACTGAGTATTGTCAATGGCCCTTTTCTGAAAAGTTGAGATAAGTTGAACTGCGCCGCGGGTGCAGCTCTTTCTCACGTGGGCCGCCGCTCTCTTCTCGTTCGACACAATTGAAAAGACGCTGGCGGTCAGAAAAAGACGCTCTGAGGACGAACACTAGATGCTTTACGCTGTGATCTGGGACTCCATGAAGATGAGGATGAAGACGAGGATGGCGGGCAGGATGCTGGCGGCCATCATCCAAACAGGAAACTGCCCGTCCGAGCCCATCGGAGAGATCAGCCAACCGCGCTTCTCCGGACTGGACACGGAGAATCCACTGGGCACGTCCAGTTTCTGCCGGCCAATAGGAAGAGGGGAAGGTAAAGTCTGTCAGGGTGTTGTGTCAACACAGGACGCACTCAGGTGTTAAAGGTCCCTATGATACTGTTTCTCATCAATATATCACAGGTCTCAGATATATCCAGAGCCTGTCTCTGATTGGCTGAAACACCAACCAGATCATTGCAGCATTACCCATAATCCCCTCTGTTTCAGCCCTGTTTCCAAAGTGCTGATTCTCTGTCTGTTACTTTAGATGAAAATAAGGAGCCCCTCCCCACGCCCCTCTGAGAGACATCTGGTTACAAAGAACTCAATGGAGCTCTAGAGGAGGTTCAGGTGATAAGGGGGGGGGGGGGTACCCTGGTTGCTGATTGGCTAATGAGAGAGTCTCTTCACACAGAGGGGACACATGGTGATGTAGAGGAGACATGAAGAAGAGGGGACACATGTTGATGTAGAGGAGACATGAAGAAGAGGGGACACATGTTGATGTAGAAGAGACATGAAGAAGAGGGGACACATGTTGATGTAGAAGAGACATGAAGAAGAGGGGACACATGTTGATGTAGAAGAGACATGAAGAAGAGGGGACACATGTTGATGTAGAAGAGACATGAAGAAGAGGGGACACATGTTGATGTAGAAGAGACAAGAAGAAGAGGGGACACATGTTAATGTAGAAGAGACATGAAGAAGAGGGGACACGTGTTGATGTAGAAGAGACATGAAGAAGAGGGGACACATGTTGATGTAGAAGAGACATGAAGAAGAGTGGACACATGTTGATGTAGAGGAGACATGAAGAAGAGGGGACACATGTTGATGTAGAAGAGACATGAAGAAGAGGGGACACGTGTTGATGTAGAAGAGACATGAAGAAGAGGGGACACATGTTGATGTAGAAGAGACAAGAAGAAGAGGGGACACATGTTGATGTAGAAGAGACATGAAGAAGAGGGGACACGTGTTGATGTAGAAGAGACATGAAGAAGAGGGGACACATGTTGATGTAGAAGAGACATGAAGAAGAGGGGACACATGTTGATGTAGAAGAGACATGAAGAAGAGGGGACACATGTTGATGTAGAAGAGACAAGAAGAAGAGGGGACACATGCTGATGTAGAAGAGACAAGAAGAAGAGGGGACACATGTTGATGAAGAAGAGACATGAAGAAGAGGGGACACATGTTGATGTAGAAGAGACATGGAGAAGAGGGGACACATGTTGATGAAGAAGAGACATGAAGAAGAGAGGACACATGTTGATGTAGAAGAGACATGAAGAAGAGGGGACACATGTTGATGTAGAAGAGACATGAAGAAGAGGGGACACATGTTGATGTAGAAGAGACATGAAGAAGAGGGGACACATGTTGATGTAGAAGAGACATGAAGAAGAGGGGACACATGTTGATGTAGAAGAGACATGAAGAAGAGGGGACACATGTTGATGTAGAAGAGACATGAAGAAGAGGGGACACATGTTGATGTAGAAGAGACAAGAAGAAGAGGGGACACATGTTGATGTAGAAGAGACATGAAGAAGAGGGGACACATGTTGATGTAGAAGAGACATGAAGAAGAGGGGACACATGTTGATGTAGAGGAGACATGAAGAAGAGGGGACACATGTTGATGTAGAGGAGACATGAAGAAGAGGGGACACATGTTGATGTAGAAGAGACATGAAGAAGAGGGGACACGTGTTGATGTAGAAGAGACATGAAGAAGAGGGGACACATGTTGATGTAGAAGAGATTTTGCGTGATAGGGGACCTTCAAAGTGTGTCTCACCTGAGTGTAGGTGTCCTCCACGCTGTAGTCCACCAGCACCATGATGAGGATCGCGATGGGGACCCCGAAGTCTCCGATGATTCTCCGGAGCTGAAACACGTAGAAAAACAACCCGTTGCACTTTCTGCTCCACAAGACTCTTTTAAATGTTATTTTGTATTTATTAATTGTTGTGCTTTTATTTAGGTCTTAATGTGTGCATATGAATACATGTGTTTGTTGATTGTGTATAGGATATACATATTTTACACATATTCTTATATATATTTGTATTTTGTATTCGGGATTGTGGGAAACGGTATTTCGATCTCTCCGTACACAAACTGAAAGATTGACAACAACAAATAATCTGAGTGGAATTTCTTGTTGTTTGTTTTTAATTATGATGTTTTATAAAGCGCTTTGAGCTGCTTGTGCTGTACAAATAAAGCTTTGTTATTGTTATTGTTATTGTTACTGACCGTCCCGGGGAAGAAGGAGCTGTTCTTGAACTTGCGCAGGTAGAAGGCGATGAAGTACGTTCCCACCATGAGAACGAAGGACAGCAGAGCCGTGTTCGGCTCTCCAACAACTTTCCCAGGATCCCCGGCGGCCGAGGTGAAGTTGCACAGGGACGGAGACACCGTGATGTTTCCATGGTAACAGTTTTTGAGAGGATGCTCCTGGAAGATCTAGAAAAAACAGCGATAGCCTAATTAAAGTTTCAAAGTCTCAAAAATGCTACAACCACTGTCACAAACTGGATGAATGTGAAGTATGTTGTTAAAGGAGGATGAAAGCGTAATCAAGGAGAACTATTGGAGCGACTTTGATGGTTATTGGACTCAGGATTCATTCATTTGGATTCCCGCTGAATGAAGAAATGAAAGGACGGCGCGGAAGTGGAAACAATTCACAAAGGGATTAAACTGTTCAACACATATGCTCAAAGGAAGCCGGATTTTGCCGATGTGTTTCTGTGGATTCAAAAGTCGTAAATAATCTACAAAATGGAGGAGGCCGATCTGATCGGAGCAACTGACAAATAATCCAACTGAAGCCGGCATGGACAATGACTATGTTTTAAAAAATATGATATGCGCTTATCCAGACAAGCCTGGTTTGGACACTTTACGGGCAGAAGAAACATTTCTATAGAAAGAATTATACATTTCTGTATTTTTATGCCTTTCATACTAACTTGAATTTTTATTAAAATTATTCCATTATTTTTTATATGTTATTGTAATGTTGAGACAAGGCTTTTAGCGACAATCATGTATTGCGTTACATGCGTTAATATGTAAAAAACTAAAAGGGGCGCGCCCCCCAGGTTGGGAACCACTTCTCTAGATGATAGGAAAGGAGGTTTGAAACGTCCTTTATAACCTCCTTTAGGAAACACTGGACCTTCCTTTAGGAAAGGAAAGGAGAACATACTCTCCCACAATGCTTTGCTGCTGTAACATTTACCGTAACACAACATTCGTCCGTTCACGGAAACAACCGATGGTGACCTAGAATTAGGGTCGGGAACCGAAACTCGGTTCCAGATGAGAACCGATAAGAAAATGCCGGGTTTGATTGATTGATTGATTGATTGATTGATTGAAAAGTGTATTAACAGCTTGTATATTGGGTACAGTACAGTACAGCTCAAAACATACAATTGTTAAGGGGATGCAGACCAGAGAAAGACTTTCGTCTTGTTTACATCAGGGTCCCCCATTTCCAATTCATCATGTCATTTAAGACATATAAGACATATTTGACATATTTGACATACAGATGGCTTATTTACAATTTACATACAGGTGGTTTTTTTACATACAGATTGCTTGTTTACAATTTTCATTTTAGATTTGGTTTTAATTAGGGCCGGGACTTTAACGTGTTAATTAAGATTAATTAATTACACAAAAATTAACGCGTTAAAAAAATTAACGCATTTTAATCGCACTTATTTTTGCACCGCGGAACGTTTCTCACTGGATGAGTTTCAGGCGTACCGATTATACTGGAGCACCAACTAACGTTCATGACTTCAGACAACAACAAACCACAGTGAACAACAGTGGGAAATGTTATTTTAAAAAACGGACGGATGGAAGCGTTGATAAGAGCACGGTTGTGTGCAAATTATGCAAAAAGGAATTCGCATATCACCGCAGCACATCAAGCCTCAAGTATCACCTCAATGCAAAACATATAGCAGCTAGCGTGGACGTTAGCCTCTTTTATCGCGTTCACACCAAAAAGAGCCGGTACTAAAATTAGTTCATGAGAACCTTTTTACCCCCACGAAAGTCCCTGCTAGAGAGCAGAGAGCTGCTAGAGAGCAGGGACTTTCGTACGGCTCTCTTGTGAGAAAAGAGCTATATTTCTGATTGGCTGGGCGGATTGCAAACCACGCCCCGTAAAACTCCCAAAAAGTTTTGTGAAGCCGCCATTTTATTATCCTCGCATTAGCATTATTAGCATTAGCCAGCGCATAAACGCAGAGAAACTAACTTATGGCAACACAAAATAAAACATGGGAGCGGTGGAGATGAGGAGGTGTCGGCGTTCTGGCGATTTACTCGGAAGGCTTCAGTAGAAGCTGCTGGGAGTCCCAGCAGCTTCTACTGAAGCCAGTCCCCAACTCCGGGGACTTCCGGCCGGGGACTTTGGGCGGCAGTATACGCCGTGAAGTGGTTTGCGGCCTGCCAGTAAACCCAAAGCAGAAGAAGAAGTGACGTCAGCGGCTTCATTTGCCTAATCCTCCCCCAGGTTCAAAGAGTTCTCATGAACTAAGTTCTCATGAACCTTTGTGGGAAAAGTACTGCGGTGTGAATGTGCCTAATGGTATACTAAAATCCATGTGAAAAAAATTGCTTCTCACTGTTCTCAGGTCAAATATTTATATCTTATATGTGATTAAAAATGCGATTAATTTCGATTAATTAATTACAAAGCCTCTAATTAATTAGATTAATTTTTTTAATCGAGTCCCGGCCCTAGTTTTAATACATCCTAACCGGACATTTAAGACATACCAAGTCTAGAGATATACAGTTAGTAACAGAGTCTAAAATGCGAGTATATACATAGATGGGGGGGGGGGAAGCTGTCCATTGAACGACAGGTTGAGATTTGTACCATTACCGGGGTCAGTTTTGCAATGCTCTCCCCCGAAGGTGCTCTTTAAGAGAGGTTTTGAAGGTAAGTATAGTTTTACTTTCCTTTACAGTTGTGGGAAGAGCGTTCCACCTTGATGTGGCATCATTGCGAAACGTGTATTCCCCCTTTTTTGTGCCAAATCTGGGTTTCACATGATTTGTGGAGCTCCCTCTGGTGTTATGATCATGGTATTCCTTGACCTTTGGGAAGAATGTTGACATGTACATGGGTACCATAGAGGTGTAGTGGATCTTGTAGACCAGGCCCATTGCAAGTAGCTGTACTCTGTCGTCTACTCTAAGCCATCCTAGGTTGTCAAAGTGGGCAGAGGTGAGGTGGGTTCTAGATGAAAGGTCAAGCAGTCTGACCAGTTTATTTTGCGATGTTTGAAGTTTTATTTTTAGCGCCTTGGAGGTGCTATGGTACCATGACGTGCAAGCATAGTCATAGTACCCTTGAATGAGTGCTCCTGCCAGAGTCTTCAGGGTGTTCTTGTTTACCAGAGAGGAGATCCGGTATAGGAATCTAGTTCTTTGATTGACTTTTTTTATTACATTGGATGCCATTTTGTCACAGGAGAGGTTTGCCTCAAGAATAGATCCTAGGTATGTAATTTCCTTCTTACTTGTGACAATAATGTCGCCCACTGCAACTGAGAAGTCGTCGGATTTGCTGAGATTATGTTTCGAACCGAAGAGAATGGACTCTGTTTTACCCAGGTGTAATGATAGTTTATTATCGGCGAGCCAGGTACAGATTCTGCCGAGCTCGGAGCTGAGGGTTTTTTCAACCTGCAACCTGTTCCTGTCAGAGACCAGCAGGGCTGAGTCGTCCGCGAACAGGAACAAGTTGCAGTCACATGCTGATGACATGTCATTTACATAAATTAGGAACAGTAACGGACCTAATATGCTTCCTTGTGGAACACCACAGCTCACTGGGAGGGGGTACCACAGCTCACTGGGAGGGGGTACCGAGTACCCATACGAAATACACCATTTGGGTTCTGCTTAAGGGTTCCTAAACGCGGTAGACCCTGTATTCCACCGGGTCCGTCTGCGCCGCGGTGCTGCGGTGACCCGGTGGAATACATCTGTGTGTTCTGGAGAATCACAGAGCGGCCGGTCGTCAGCGGGCCACATCATGTAAGTTGCGCTGACAGGCTCCCCCCACCCTCAGACTTATATTTGTAGGACAATAAAAGAAGCTTGAAATGACTGTCTTGTGACTTCTCCTTTTAACAAAGAAACATTTAGATGTTCATCCATTTACCATCGAGGTGTTTCTGCGTGTTTTGGATCCACTTTGGAAAGCCATGTTTAGCCGACTCTCCAAGTAGTGGCACAGACTTAAAGGAGCTCATGCATTTTAACATTTGGAAATAACTACTTTTGACCAGTACAAATGCCATATTACGTTTTGTTAACGACAGTAATAAATGATTCAGATGAGCTCCATCGTACACTGCAAAAACAGCCCTTCCAAAAACAAGCGAAAATATTCTTGAATCAAGTCAGATGTTCCTGCATCAAGCAAAGCCAATGGGTGAGCCACATTTGCTTGGCTAGAATTCTTAAAACTAGAATTAAAATCTAGCGACTGAAAGAAAATAAAATGCTTATTTCAAGCAATGATTCCTGAATTATTTAAGAAAGAATAATGTGTTCCATGCGGGGAATGTATGCAAACCAATGCTAACTGGTTAGTGGTTAATATAAGATAGCATTTCTTAATAAGAAAAAGTAAGATATATTTTCTCAAAGTAAGAATACATTTCTTAAGCAGAACATTCTTAACAAGATTATTTGACTTTTTAGACAAAAATAAGAATTGTTTCCCAGAAACAAGTTTTTTTAACTTTCTTAAAATTCATTTTTTGCAGTGTAGTGAGCACTTCCTCGGTCCATGCTTCACGCTCCTCTAGTTTTGGTGAAGTCCAGGTCAGATAAACGATCCAACCACAACCAACTCTTTAAAAAGCCTGACTTCACTGGAAGTGACTGTTATTGTGTATTGATTGATTGTAGTGCTTTTATTTAGGTCTTAATGTGTGCACATGTGTCTGTTGATTGTGTATATATAGGTATATACATATTTGTATATATATTTATGTTATGAAAATTCTGAGTGTCCTCCTCCAACCTGAGAGTAGCATGCTAACAAAGGTATCAACTGTAGCTGTGAACATGACAGGATGTGTGATTACCTAGAAGAGCATCAGGACTGTTTGAGGCAGATGATAGCTATGTGATGAACATGATGATTCAGCCTCTATGGAGAGAGACATCAAGCATGCTCATTTCTGACGTGGAGCTAATCTGAAGTAAACATTGAATACTGCTTTCTATTCCTCCATCTTGTGACTGTGTAACTCCCTCTCTTGGATATCAGCATGTGAAGGACACTGTTCAGGAACTAGCTGATGCTCTGTATGTGATGACTCCTTCCATTCTGGAGAGGATCACAGATACATGGATCCTGAGGCTGAAGCTCAAGCCGGGGACCAGGGAGATTTTTCACTTTGCATTTTGTATTCCTCAGGATTGTGGGAAACGGTATTGGGATCTCTCCGTCACACAAACTGAAAGATTGATAATACATTGTACTTTGACCTTTGAAGTTGACTCACCTTGATGAGTTTGGCGAAGGTCTCGTAGATGAAGATGAGGGAGATGAGGAAGGAGAAGATCTCCTGAGTGAAGCGGGAGACGAAGCGGACCAGGATGCTTCCCTCGAAGGCCACGGTGAGCAGGACGAGGAGAACCAGCCAGAACCCGATCCACACCCGGCTCGTCAGGTACTCGATGCCGTTGTCTTTACAGAACTGCACACAAACACACCGCAGGGCTCAGGAGCAGCTAGCAGCGTGTGATAACACCCTCCATCAGTTTGAATCCTAACAAACTATAACCCAGTTTTTGTGAGCAACTCATAGTTTGTGTGTACAGGAAATTGTCTATGGGTATTGAACCAGAACTCAGTTACATAACGTTAGATCTTGATGGTTTGGTTGGATTGGGAAAGCTGTGGGATTAAGTGCAGACGTAGAATAACAGCGCTGTGGAAATAAAGGGGGTTTGTGGCTAACACTAAATTGAATATGTGGTAATCTTTGGGCTTTGGATCATCAAGTGGTTTCAAGTCGAGTTGGGATCCTTACTTTTCATCTGTCAATGCCTCCTCGATTTATGACATTTTCAGAATTCTTACTTCTTTTTATCAGAATTCTAAATTGTGTCTCAATTTTGAGGAAAATAAATCAAATATATTTCTCAGAATTTGAAAAAAAAATAGATTTTGTTTTAAATCTCTGGCTATGTTAATGTAGTCTGTTACTGAAGAGACATGTTGATATGAACTTTGTCAAAGATCGGATACATAGGATATACACATTTTATACATATTTATACACTTGGAGTTTGTTTCTACACGGACCACTATTGCGGTAAGCATGTTGTAACTTCCGGTTGTTGTCATCTCCGGGTATCCCGTGTGCCTGTTCTGTTGCTGATAGCTTATTATCTTAACTTAATCGATCGTTCTAAAACTCTTGATCACGGCAACTGCCTGACGTTGTAATCACACGTTACTATAACTTAAGCACTCACAACTCTCCTTCTCTTAGCGACTGTAACTCCACAGTTGCCTACACTCTTTTCGGGTTTGCTAACGGTAGCTACTTTAGCTTGATAGCTAGCCATGGCTCTTTCCCCACCCTCGGGTGCTATTTCCTGCTCTAACTGTCTCGTGTTTGGTTACTTCCCTACCTCCTTTACTGGTACCGGTACATGTGTTAAATGTAGTATAGTTGTTAGCTTGGAGGCGGGAATCATAGCCATAGAAGCCCGGCTCCGCATCTTAGAAAGTAACTCAGCTACAGTAAAGCCCATGTTAGCCGGTGCGGACCGGCAAAAGGTAGCTCCTATTAGCCGTCCCCCGGCAACTCCCGAGCAGCAGGGAGACTGGGTGACTGTTCAGAAGAGGCATAACGCGAAACCCGCAGGTCCCCACCAACCCGTTCACGTATCTAACAGATATTCCCCACTCAGCGAGACACCCGCTGAGAAGCCAACTCTGGTTATTGGTAGCTTTATTATGAGACACGTGAAATTAGAGACCGAAGCCTCCACAGTCACATGCATTCCGGGGGCCAGAGCGGGCGACGTTGAGGCGCATCTTAAACTGCTGGCTAAAAATAAACGTAAATACAGTAGGATTGTTATTCACATCGGTGGTAATGATGTTCGTATACGCCAATCAGAATGCACCAAACTTAATGTGGAGTCGGTGTGTAGTTATGCTAAAACAATGTCGGACACCGTAATCTTCTCTGGTCCCCTCCCCAATCTGATCAGTGATGACATGTATAGCCGCATGTCATCATTTCAGCGCTGGTTGTCTTGGTGGTGCCCAGCAAACAACGTGGGCTTCGTAAATAATTGGACAGCCTTCTGGGGAAAACCTGGTCTGATTAAGAGAGACGGCATTCATCCTACTTTGGAAGGTGCCGATCTCATTTCGGCAAACATTTCAGGGCTTTGTGGACTTAATCCATGACAAACTGGAGTTGAGACCAGGAGGCGGAGTCGCAGTCTTACACGCTTCTCTGCGCTCTCTCCTAGGCAGTCATCCATAGGAATCCCGAACCCAATAAAATACCCAATATTAGCGGTGTGTGTGTCTGCCCAAGGACAAGTTAAGGTAAAACCTAATAGAGGTGTCATACATAATAACCTAATCAAAGTAAATGTAACAACTACTACAGTGCAACAAAACAGGAATATTAAATGTGGTCTCTTAAACATAAGATCTCTAGCATCTAAAGCAATATTGGTAAATGATTTAATATCAGATTATAATATTGATATATGCTGTCTCACTGAAACTTGGTTGAGACATGAAGAATATGTCAGCATAAATGAGGCCACTCCACCCAGCCATATCAATACTCATATTGCCCGAGGCACGGGCCGAGGAGGTGGAGTTGCAGCAATCTTTGACTCAAGTTTACTTATCAATACTAAACCAAAATTAAATTATACTACATTTGAAAGTCTCGTTTTTAGTCTTACGCATCCGACCTGGAAAACTTTGCAGCCAATCTTATTTGTTACAGTGTACCGTGCACCAGGTCCTTATTCAGAATTCTTATCTGAATCCTCTGAGTTTTTATCAACTTTGGTTCTTAAAACAGATAAAGTAATTATCGTAGGTGACTTTAATATTCATGTTGACGATGATAAAAATAGCCTTACTGTTGCATTTAACTCTATATTAGATTCTGTTGGTTTTTGTCAGAGTGTAAATAAACCAACCCACTGCTATAATCACACTCTCGACCTTGTTCTGACTTATGGTATTGAAATTGAGCAACTATTAGTCGAACCGCATAATCCTGCTTTATCCGACCATTTCTTAGTAACTTTTGAAGTACTGTTACGAGACTACAAAGCATTAGTCAAAAGCTCCTGCAGCAGAAACCTATCTGTTAGTGCTATGGGAGGCGTGTGGTGCAGTGGGTTGAGCGTTGGTGTTCGGATCAGGGGGTCACAGGTTCAAACCTCACTGCAGTCAGCATGTCGTTGTGTCCCTGGGCAAGACACTTCACCCCAAATTGCTCCTGTGGGGATTGTCCACAGTATTGAGTATGTAAGTCGCTTTGGATAAAAGCGTCTAACAAGTGACATGTAATCTAACAAGTGACATGTAATATAGCCACATTTAAGGAAGAGATTCCACCAATACTTAACTCGATAGCATGTCTGCATGTAAGGGAGGAAACGTATACAAAATGTACACCACCCCAAATTGATCATGTTGTTGATAGTGCTACAGATGCGCTGCGAATAAAATTAGACTCTGTTGCTCCTTTGAAAAAGAAGAAAATAAAACAACATAGATTAGCTCCATGGCATAATGCCGAAACCCGCAAAATAAAGCAAAAGTCGAGACAACTTGAAAGGATATGGCGTTCCACTAAACTTGAAGAATCTCGTTTAATTTGGCATATTACTCTCAATGAATATAAGAAAGCACTGCGTAAAGCGAGAGCAGCCTACTACTCTTCATTAATAGATGAGAATAAGAATAATGCAAGATTTCTTTTCAGCACTGTAGCCAGGCTGACAGAGAGCCACAGCTCGATTGAGCCTTCTATTCCCATAGCACTCAGTAGTAATGATTTTATGTGCTTTTTTAACGATAACATTGTTACTCTTAGAAACAAAATGAATGACCTCTTGCCTTTGACCAGTATAGTGTTATCAACAGCTCCCGGAAACGTAAGTTCTAATATTACACTAGATAGTAAACTAGAATGCTTTTCAGCCATAAACCTTGAACAATTAAATTCAATGATTCTCTCTTCTAAACCATCAATATGTATGTTAGACCCAATTCCAACTAAGCTGTTGAAGGAAGTTTTTCCATTAATTAGCACTTCTTTATTAAATATTTTGAATATGTCTTTATTATCAGGCTATGTTCCACAATCATTCAAAGTAGCAGTGATAAAACCGCTTCTTAAAAGGCACAACCTCGATCCAGAGGTTTTAGCCAACTATAGACCTATTTCCAATCTTCCGTTCCTCTCAAACATTCTTGAGAAAGCGGTCGCAAAACAGTTGATTACTTAAAAAACAATGATTTATTTGAAGATTTTCAGTCTGGCTTTAGAACACATCATAGCACAGAGACAGCTCTGGTTAAAGTCACAAATGACATTCTAATAGCCTCTGACAAGGGACGTGTCTCTATTCTTGTTTTGCTCGATCTCAGTGCTGCATTTGATACTATCGACCATGATATCTTATTGCAAAGACTAGAGCACTTAGTTGGCATACAGGGAACTGCTTTAGGCTGGTTTAGATTCTATCTATCTGAACGCTCTCAGTTTGTACGTGTCAATGATGAATCTTCCACGCAAACCAAAGTTAGCCATGGAGTGCCACAGGGCTCAGTGCTCGGACCTATTTTGTTCACATTATATATGCTTCCGTTAGGCAATATGATAAGGAATCATTCTGTAAACTTTCATTGTTATGCGGATGATACTCAACTATATTTATCAATCAAGCCTGATGAAATTAATCATCTAAATAAAATTCAAGACTGCCTTAAGGACTTAAAAACGTGGATGACCTTAAACTTTTTGATGTTAAACACGACCAAAACTGAAGTTATTGTACTTGGCCCGAAGAATCTACGAAACAAATTATCTAAGGATATACTAACTATGGATGGCATTAATTTGGCCTCCAGTGAGACTGTAAGGAATCTTGGTGTTATATTTGATCAGGATTTATCCTTTAACGCCCACATAAAATCAATTTCAAGGACCGCCTACTTCCATCTACGTAACATTGCAAAAATCAGGCATTTCTTGCCTCAAAACGATGCAGAGAAACTAGTCCATGCATTTGTTACTAGAAGGCTGGATTATTGTAACTCTTTATTATCAGGGTGTACCAAGAAGTCAGTCAAGTGGCTTCAGCTGATTCAAAATGCTGCAGCTCGTGTACTAACCAGAGTTAGGAAAAGGGACCACATTACTCCTGTTCTGGCTGCCTTACACTGGCTCCCTATAGAACACAGGATAGAGTTTAAAATTCTTCTTCTCGCCTACAAAGCCCTTAATGGGCAGGCGCCATCTTACCTTAAAGAACTCATTATACCCTACTGTCCTACTAGGGCATTGCGTTCCAAGAATGCAGGGTTGTTGGTTGTTCCTAGAGTCTCTAAAAGTACAATGGGAGCCAGAGCCTTTTCTTATCAAGCTCCACATTTGTGGAATCAGCTTCCAGTTTGTGTTCGGGCGGCAGACACCCTATCCGTTTTTAAGAGTGCGCTTAAGACCTTCCTTTTTGATAAAGCTTATAGTTAGGGCTGATTAGATTCAGCCCCTAGTTTTGCTGATATAGGCTTAGTTTGTCGGGGGACATCTTACTTCTTCCTTCTTTCTGTCTATACCTGTGTACTCTCATGTTCCCATTAACCCAGCTTCCCCACATGTCTTTCTTTTTGGTGTCTGTATACGCCGGGATCCGGAGTCATGGATGATCCTGCGCTCCTCTGTCCTGGATCTTGAGTCGTGGCTGTGGTCCTGGATCATAGGTTCTGGATGGATATCCTCGTGGATTCATCTTCCTATTATAAACACATGCATTTCCAAACATTTGGACTACCTATGTTGCAAATGTATTATCTTTTCAATTTACACACGGCATCTATTGCACGTCTGTCCGTCCTGGGAGAGGGATCCCTCCTCTGTTGCTCTCCCTGAGGTTTCTCCCATTTTTCCCTTTAAACTGTGGGTTTTCTCTGGAAGTGTTTCCTTGTACGATGTGAGGGTCTAAGGACAGAGGGTCTAAGGACAGAGGGTCTGAGGACAGAGGGTCTAAGGACAGAGGGTCTGAGGACAGAGGGTCTAAGGGCAGAGGGTCTAAGGACAGAGGGTCTAAGGACAGAGGGTCTGAGGACAGAGGGTCTAAGGACAGAGGGTCTGAGGACAGAGGGTCTAAGGACAGAGGGTGTCGTATTGTCATACTGATATTTTGTACAAACTGTAAAGTCCACTGAGACAAATGTAACATTTGTGATATTGGGCTATAAATAAACATTGATTGATTGTATACATATTTTATACATATTTTTATATATATGTGTATTTTTGTGTTCTGGATTGTGGGAAACGGTATTTGGATTTCTCTGTCTGTACCCACAAACTGTTGACTTTGAGATAGGGTTCTGATGCAGGTGTGCAGTGTGCAGTGTGCAGGTGTGCAGTGTGCAGTGTGTAGTGTGCAGTGTGTAGTGTGTAGTGTGCAGGTGTGCAGTGTGCAGTGTGCAGTGTGCAGTGTGCAGTGTGCAGGTGTGTAGTGTGCAGTGTGCAGTGTGCAGGTGTGTAGTGTGCAGTGTGCAGTGTGCAGGTGTGTAGTGTGCAGTGTGCAGGTGTGCAGTGTGTAGTGTGCAGTGTGTAGTGTGTAGTGTACAGTGTGCAGGTGTGCAGTGTGCAGTGTGCAGTGTGTAGTGTACAGTGTGCAGTGTGTAGTGTACAGTGTGCAGTGTGTAGTGTACAGTGTGCAGGTGTGCAGTGTGCAGTGTACAGTGTGCAGTGTGTAGTGTACAGTGTGCAGGTGTGTCAGGTGATCTCACGGTGAAGAAAGCCTCCTCGAACACCAGCAGCGGTCCAGAGAAGCCGATCACGAGCAGCGGCTGCGCTCCCAGGACGCTGAACACGATGCCCTGCAACGCCGTGGCCACGATCAGCTCCGACACCCCGATCAGACCCTCCGTCTTCTCACCTGAGAGCAATCAGAGCGGAGAACCTCGCTGTGAACCCTGCTCGATGCATTATTCATCTGAACCTCGCTGTGAACCCTGCTCGATGCAACATTCATCTGAACCTCTCTGTGAACCCTGCTCGATGCAACATTCACCTGAACCTCACTGTGAACCCTGCTCGATGCAACATTCATCTGAACCTCTCTGTGAACCCTGCTCGATGCAACATTCACCTGAACCTCGCTGTGAACCCTGCTCGATGCAACATTCATCTGAAGCTCACTGTGAACCCTGCTCGATGCAACATTCACCTGAACCTCTCTGTGAACCCTGCTCGATGCAACATTCACCTGAACCTCTCTGTGAACCCTGCTCGATGCAACATTCATCTGAACCTCTCTGTGAACCCTGCTCGATGCAACATTCATCTGAACCTCGCTGTGAACCCTGCTCGATGCAACATTCATCTGAACCTCTCTGTGAACCCTGCTCGATGCAACATTCACCTGAACCTCGCTGTGAACCCTGCTCGATGCAACATTCATCTGAAGCTCACTGTGAACCCTGCTCGATGCAACATTCACCTGAACCTCTCTGTGAACCCTGCTCGATGCAACATTCACCTGAACCTCTCTGTGAACCCTGCTCGATGCAACATTCATCTGAACCTCACTGTGAACCCTGCTCGATGCAACATTCATCTGAACCTCTCTGTGAACCCTGCTCGATGCAACATTCACCTGAACCTCTCTGTGAACCCTGCTCGATGCAACATTAATCTGAAGCTCACTGTGAACCCTGCTCGATGCAACATTCATCTGAACCTCTCTGTGAACCCTGCTCGATGCAACATTCATCTGAACCTCACTGTGAACCCTGCTCGATGCAACATTCATCTGAACCTCACAGTGAACCCTGCTCGATGCAACATTCATCTGAACCTCATCTGTGAACCCTGCTCGATGCAACATTCATCTGAACCTCTCTGTGAACCCTGCTCGATGCAACATTCATCTGAACCTCTCTGTGAACCCTGCTCGATGCAACATTCATCTGAACCTCTCTGTGAACCCTGCTCGATGCAACATTCATCTGAACCTCACTGTGAACCCTGCTCGATGCAACATTCATCTGAACCTCACTGTGAACCCTGCTCGATGCAACATTCACCTGAACCTCATTGTGAACCCTGCTCGATGCAACATTCACCTGAACCTCTCTGTGAACCCTGCTCGATGCAACATTAATCTGAACCTCACTGTGAACCCTGCTCGATGCAACATTCATCTGAACCTCTCTGTGAACCCTGCTCGATGCAACATTAATCTGAACCTCACTGTGAACCCTGCTCGATGCAACATTCATCTGAAGCTCACAGTGAACCCTGCTCGATGCAACATTCATCTGAAGCTCACAGTGAACCCTGCTCGATGCAACATTCATCTGAACCTCACTGTGAACCCTGCTCGATGCATTATTCATCTGAACCTCGCTGTGAACCCTGCTCCATGCAACATTCATCTGAACCTCTCTGTGAACCCTGCTCGATGCAACATTCACCTGAACCTCACTGTGAACCCTGCTCGATGAAACATTCATCTGAACCTCACTGTGAACCCTGCTCGATGCATTATTCATCTGAACCTCGCTGTGAACCCTGCTCCATGCAACATTCATCTGAACCTCACTGTGAACCCTGCTCGATGCAACATTCAACTGAACCTCGCTGTGAACCCTGCTCCATGCAACATTCATCTGAACCTCACTGTGAACCCTGCTCGATGCAACATTCATCTGAACCTCACTTTGAACCCTGCTCGATGCAACATTCATCTGAACCTCTCTGTGAACCCTGCTCGATGCAACATTCACCTGAACCTAACAGTGAACCCTGCTCGATGCAACATTCACCTGAACCTCTCTGTGAACCCTGCTCGATGCAACATTCATCTGAACCTCGCTGTGAACCCTGCTCGATGCAACATTCATCTGAACCTCTCTGTGAACCCTGCTCGATGCAACATTCACCTGAACCTCTCTGTGAACCCTGCTCGATGCAACATTAATCTGAAGCTCACTGTGAACCCTGCTCGATGCAACATTCATCTGAACCTCTCTGTGAACCCTGCTCGATGCAACATTCATCTGAACCTCACTGTGAACCCTGCTCGATGCAACATTCATCTGAACCTCACTGTGAACCCTGCTCGATGCAACATTCATCTGAACCTCACAGTGAACCCTGCTCGATGCAACATTCATCTGAACCTCACTGTGAACCCTGCTCGATGCAACATTCATCTGAACCTCTCTGTGAACCCTGCTCGATGCAACATTCACCTGAACCTCACTGTGAACCCTGCTCGATGCAACATTCATCTGAACCTCACTGTGAACCCTGCTCGATGCATTATTCATCTGAACCTCGCTGTGAACCATGCTCCATGCAACATTCATCTGAACCTCACTGTGAACCCTGCTCGATGCAACATTCATCTGAACCTCTCTGTGAACCCTGCTCGATGCAACATTCATCTGAACCTCTCTGTGAACCCTGCTCGATGCAACATTCATCTGAACCTCACTGTGAACCCTGCTCGATGCAACATTCATCTGAACCTCACTGTGAACCCTGCTCGATGCAACATTCACCTGAACCTCATTGTGAACCCTGCTCGATGCAACATTCATCTGAACCTCTCTGTGAACCCTGCTCGATGCAACATTCATCTGAACCTCACTGTGAACCCTGCTCGATGCAACATTCATCTGAAGCTCACAGTGAACCCTGCTCGATGCAACATTCATCTGAACCTCACTGTGAACCCTGCTCGATGCAACATTCATCTGAACCTCACTGTGAACCCTGCTCGATGCAACATTCATCTGAAGCTCACAGTGAAC